ATATAAAAGAGCTATAGAACTTAACAGAGATGATCTTATTTTGGATCAACCTAAACAAAAACCGTCGAACAAGACTATCCGTATGATTGGGACCTTTGATACAGGATGGAACACAGTGAAAAGGTCAATTGATAAATTTTGGCCTATTCTTCTAAAGGATGTCCATCCTAAAGACGTCCTTAGCCCTAGGGCAACTATTACAGCACGCAGGGGAAAAAACCTTCGTGATATGTTGGTACCAAGCCATTTCTCAATGAAACAAAATAAATCGACATGGTTGGGCCGAAATCCCCCCTGTGGTTCCTATGGGTGTGGTAGATGCGTTGCTTGTAAGTACATCCTTCGGACTCAAAGAGAGTCCAAGATAGTGCTTTTGAGATTACCCATTTCTTTAACTGTAATACGGCTGGACTGGTATACCTTCTCATCTGTGGCTGTAACATGATGTACGTAGGAAAAACTTTTAGACCTTTCAAGGAACGAATCAAAGAACATGTAAGATCTCCAAAAAAACGCATGGAAACTCCAATTTCGAGACATCTAAAAAACTGTCATGCGGGTGATTCCAGTATAATTAGTTTTTGTGGACTGGAATGGGTCAAACGGGATCAGAGACGAGGAGACTATGACAAACTCCTACGTCAAAAAGAATGTAGGTGGATATACAAACTAAAAACCCTTAACCCAAATGGCTTGAATGAAGGGTTTTCTTTTCCCCCCTACATCTAACACATAGGGTTTGGTCACTGATTGTAGTTAGAATGGAGTGACTATCACTAACTACACACTCTGTAAATATATGTAAATATGTAGAATATAATAGAAAACTTATGTGTCTGTTTATAATGTACTTTATATGTGATCCATGTCTATGATAATTTTTTGGTATTTATGCTCTATACCTGGCACTTTTCTGGACTGTAATACCGCCTTTGTCAATCTATGGATATACTTTATAATCTGCCATGATATGGCAATTGTGGGAGTAATATTTAATAACATATTTAATTTATTCTTATGGTAGAACATTGCTCGATATATAAATATAGAGAATTGATTTAACAACATACTCAATCATCATCTATGGTGGATCAGTGTTCAATAAATTAACACACATGATTGATCCTCACTTAACTGAGGTTAAGTTCAATTAATACCATATCAGTAATTATCACTATCACAGTGATCGATAGACTAAAATGATAACCGCATTTTGAGCCTTATAATTGACTTTGGGATGTATATTTTCTCTTTCCCCCCCCCCCTCCCTTTACAATGAAGGGGTTTCTAAGTATATCCCCTTTATTACTTTAAGGTTAATCCGGTGTAACAAAATGTTGAATCTAAATATACTCCCTATATGTAGTTAAGTAATATCTGCTCAATATTGATAACGGATCCCGAAGAGGTATTCTGTGAGCTGACAGATAACCTGTAGTGCACAATCAGGCTGGTTACGTTACTATAGTAACGAAGAACGCTGTATGTGCACACGGGTACCTTTGATTGACAAGCTATTAGATGGAGGAGGGTGCGGTTACTAGATAACCACGCCCCCAGTCAAGCGGATTGGAACACGAAACTTGGTGGGCGGCACCCTTTGCGGTATAAATCTATCCTCCCTTAGCATGCTGTGCCAGTAGCTCTTGACAAAGGCGTGTGATCACGCCGAAACGCGCGTCGAGCGTTTGCCGTTTTCTTTGTTCTTAATACTGGGGGATGTATGAAGTGATTTAGTCACGTATATTGGGGGACTCTTTTGGAGCACTTATCTAGTTTATTTAGTACCTCTGCGGCAACAGCAAGCATTGTCACTAGGAGCTCTATGTGTTATACTTATTTAGAGCGTTCAGTGAGCGATCTGTAGCGTGAGGCTGCCTTGAAGCAGCAGTGTCTAGTATGTGTAGGAGTTATATTTAGTCAGTATAGGTTTCGATTTTTTAATCTATCCAGGTGGGTTTGTGCTCCAAGGAAAGATCTTTTCATCTGTTGGGTGGTGCCTCTCTATATATATAAGACTGCACTTTTAATTCAGTGTACTATCATCATGAGACACCTATGTACTAACCCCCAGGATTATTTTGCTTAACCACCTCCTTAGATCTATCTAAGCTTTCACTTGTATACTGTGATACTCCCTCTACTAAGCACTAATTATCTATACTCTATCTAGGTACTAAATACTAAGTAGCAAACTACACATACAGGGTCTCTCCCCTTTTTCTCCCTAGACTTTCTTTCTTTTTTGCAATACTTTAGACAAACTTTATTATAAGATTTACTCTTATGGAGATTATCTATTGAGATCTAAAGTATATGCTTTGTAAAGTTTATTAGGATCTATGGGATTGTCTGTGGATTTACCTCTATAAAGCTGGGATATTTTTGGATACCTGCAGACTAGGGAAAAAGTATTTCCCTTTTCCCTTTTCTCCTTGATGAACGATTGTGTGGCATTCGACTGAATATATGTTGTACTATATCCTACTTGTTACTATAATTTTCAGCGAAGATATCACTTTACTATATTCTGAGGATATCCACACTACATCTACCCAGTTTTTATTTCACGTGTTGTCTTTCACGAGTATTTCACCATTATTACACTGTACTATTTTTTTGTTTTGCCTTAAGACGGCTTAATAAAGGTTATACCTAATAATTATTTTAACCAGTTAGAGATATCATTTGGTGAAGTGGATGTCCAATTCTTTCCATCTTTAGTGGAATAACCACTTCACTTTAGTCCTGTTCTCCTAAATCATTTTGTGGGGTTATGCCCCTTGATATCTCTGTAACCCTTTCTGGGAACTATTGATGTGGACTTAGTCCACCTCTAATTTTTTCCTCTCTTGTTCTGAAACCAACTATAGCTACTGATATTGCAGAGCAAGTTTGTTTAGTACAAGAAAAACCGAAACCGACATGCCTGCCGGCAGCAAAGGGGTTAATATGCCTGTGACTTGGCCGTAAAGCGTGTGGCCGTAAAGTAAGGCCGTTTTAAAATCGCGACGCCGTGGGAAATGATCCGGGCGACGGACTTACGATTTTGCAGTCCTGTGGACTTAATCTGCGACGAAAACACCGGGTATGTGCGTGGCTGAAACGGGCGGAAAACCTGTAAGGATTCCTGGACACAGCTACACCAAACGAAACCGCTGATTTTTTGAAAAGCAAGATGGCGCCGTACGTGAACCGGAAGTGGATTCTCGTGCAGCGCTGACCTCGAACGGTATGGAGCCAGGTAAGGGGTGTCCCTTAAGTAGGGAGAAGGTGAGTCATACGCCCCTCCCACAATTACAGGCCAAAAGGCCTTAATACATATATATATATAAAAAATATAAACAAGGTGCACTCACAGGTCTTCTTAAATGCGTGATAAATTTATTCCAGCGTGCAAATTATTTATGCCACAATTTGATGATGATCAACGTTTCGACCCCTAAAGGGTCTTTTTCAAGATATATATATATATATAGTGTAGTGTAGATTGGATTAGCCGTATTAGTCCAGTAGACAAGATGCCAAAATACCGGAGTATATATAAATACAAGAGTATTGCAGTATGTTTCGGCCGCTGTACCTCCCAACTGGATTGACTCCTGGAGGTTTGTTACCCTTACAAGGTGAGCCCTAGTTATTACAGATCTATATAAATATTTCCATAACCGGGATTGTATTGAGCAGGCGATCTCATAATATTAATTTTGTTCAGGCCATTACGGGGGCCCCCGGGCCAGTACTACATCCCCTGGCCATGAGCAATTTTGGGGAAAGATGGCGTTTGGACCTATTAGAGGACTCATAGATCACAAGACCAGGAAGCACATGAAGGATGACTAGCGGTGTACCCCAGACCATCACTACCCGATTAGGCTGCAATGACCTCAGAGTTCGATATCAGGACCGACACAGACTTTGCAAGGTCGGGACGCAACCTTTTGCTGGGGTACTAATCAGGGTCTGGTGCTAACGCAGGTCAAGCTATCCGACGATCTTGAACCCTGGCTCGGATCCTGCCTCTGGGGGATGAAGTCCTTTCGCAAAACTCTTTCCTGGTTTTGTCTGTCATTAGAGAAGGGTCCTTACATTCTATATGCATAATAGGCAACGCTAATAGGTCGCGGGGCACTGAATGAAGATAGGTGGCTTTCGCATAGATGCCACAATTTCAGACTTCAAGTTCATAGAACTGGTTTACTTGGCCTAGGGTCTATTCTTGAGAGTTACATTTTAAGAAATCCGCAAACACATGAGCCTGTATACCTCATTCAATTATGCCCTATCTTGAGTTGGACAAGCGTTCCAACAGACTCTCCTAGGGTCCCTTTTGGCAGGGCTGAACGACAACGAGGTAGTACATCCAGCAGTTTGGATTACTGCACTCCATCCCTATGCAGACAACAGGAACACTGATAGACACCGGAACCCAGACCCGTTCAACAAGGACCGATTCAGTTTCTCACTGGACACTGGACGGGTTTTTCTCGTCTACAACTCCAACCTTCTGGTTGGAAAGAAGGCGGGTGAACGTACACACTACCCTAAACCACCGGATTCGGTAGGAACATGTTAAATTTACCAATGTTTGCTACATGCTCTCTGGCACAACCTGCCACACCAGGTCCTCCTGTCTACCCTTTGGCCCAAATCAGACCTTTGGGTTCCACCAAGCGGCTATGACCAGTGATGGCTCATCTTCGGTTAGAAAGGTTCCCATTACCTCATGGATCCGGACTTCGTATCGTCCTTCCGTGACAACACTTTTGGACTAGGATTTCAACCGCTCAAGAAAAACAGGAAGTGTACCTACATGTTATATATCTAAAATACAGAGCAAAATGAGGTTCAATAATGGGTATATCAATCTC